TTTCTCACAGCATTTTCAACATGTAAATATCAACACATACACATCGGTCGCCAACGACCTTGGAGACTGCCGTCGCCGTCTCCCTATGGCCAGATCGAGGAGAGGGAGGGGAGGAAGGGGAGGGCATCGCTGGTCTCCAGCTATCACCATCGCCACCAGATTTGCCCCCCATCGCCATCGCCGTCTCGAGGCTGGAGGTGGCCCGATTTGGTGCTCATGCCCCTCTGGAAGCAGGATCCGCCACCCGTGGCCCTGCGGCAGTCACGGCGGCGGATCTGGCCTCCCCCGTCGTCGCGGCGGTCGGATCTGGGCCCGAGCTCGTGGCGGCCAGCGGTGGAGAGGATGTCGCACCCCACTGCCGTGGAGAGGCGGTGGAAGCGACAGTAGCCGGCGGCGGTGGAGAAGAGAGGAAGAAGGAGAGACTGAGGGAGGAGGGAGAGAGGCGGCGGAGAGGCTGAGGGAGAAGGGAGGGGGGGATGTGGTGGTGGATTTTTATATTCATCTCTTTTTTTTTTTTTGCAACGGTCCTCTTTACCTACCGCCAATGAAAATAAGTTTTTTTTTATTGGCGGATACTTAAGGCGTCCGCCTCGAAAAATTGAGTAGTTTTTTTTATGGTGGATCTCTTAGTGTGGCTGCCAGCAAAACGTTTTCGCTGGTGGTCCGTAGCCCCCCACCCCTTGTTATGTTTTTGCCGGCAGTTTTTATGTATGGCCGTCAGTGAAAATTAGTGAAAATTATAAAGTACCGCCATGAAAAATCTATTTTTAAGTTGAGTTTCACCGTCGATGCGACCGTCTTGACCCGCCAACGACATCTCCGTGTTTGTGAGAACAGTCCCCTTCCTCCTAGCCTTTTACAACCCCATGCTCTACATCACTTAACCTTGCAGCAAGTCCGACAGGTCAAGAACTCCCAATGTTGTTGAAGAAGGAAAGCTATTGCCTGCTTCCATCATGGGCTGAAGCTAGCAAAGTGGCCCAAAACACCAATCCTAGTCCAAAATGCTATCCAAGGTAAAAAATACAGAGACCCGGTTCAGCATGAAACTCGGAAAGTGAAATTTACTCTATATAAAAACGTAGGAATGAGATAAATTTAGGAACCCTTTAGTTTTTAGCGCACTACCACACACACTGATACACATATGCATAAGTGATAAAATAATGCATTAATCCGGATATGAAAATAACTCTTCAAAACTAGGGATATCTCCTAAGCAAACAAGCCATATATTTCCGACTATGAAAAGATTGCTCCTACTATTATATGGTATATGCTACTTGTGCTGGTGTATCCAGAGATCGAAGACGACGTGTTGCCAAGCATACACGTGATGGTTGTGAAAACGGTCATGGAAATTCCTGATTAAGCGAGTATCGTTTTCGTATAAAGGGTACAATTTCTGACCATATCGTTTTTAGCTATTTATAAATTTTGTTTTTTTCTAATTTTTTTTCATCGTATTGGTATCGACACTAAGTAGTTTAAATGATATATATGATCAGTTACCAGCCAATCGAGCGTCATTGCCAAAGATATGTTTCATTCCGGCCGTTTTCACCCTTGCTGCAGTACTTATCCGACTATAACAAAATTTGCTGATGTGCTCCTACTATGTAGACATGATAGGAGGAGACAAGAAACGTGATGAAGCATGTGGTCACCAGCTCACTGTATATATTAGAACTTGAAAAACAAGAGATAATGGGGAGAGAGACAGATACATGAGTTATGCCGTGTTCTTTCAGTTCCTATCTATTATATTATTAAAAAAATAGAAAAAGGAGCCTCCACGTTCGCTCTCATGGTCTAGAAATTCTCACATTAATCAGAGAAAAAGAAAAAACAGAGTCAATATAGAAATACAATTTAGAAATAGTTGAAATTCGGAATTAAAAAATAAGAAATATTAGAAGAGAAGACTAGAGTCCATATAGAAATACAATTTAGAAATAGTTGAAATTCGGAATTAAAAAAAGGAATATTAGAAGAGGAGACTAGAGTCCATATAGAAATACAATTAGAAAATAACTGAAATTCGAAATTAAAAATAAGGAATATTAGGAGTAGAGTATAGAGTACATATAGAAATACAATTAGGAAATAACTGAAATTCGGAATTAAAAATAGGAATATTAGAAGTAAAGTATAGAGTCCATATAGAAATACAATTAAGAAAAAAAATAGAAATTTATAATTAAAAAATAAGGAATATTAGAAGTAGAGTATAGAGTCCATATAGAAATACAATTAAGAAAAAAATAGAAATTCGGAAATAAAAAAAGGAATATTAGAAGTAGAGTATAGAGTCCATATAGGAATTCAAAATTAACTAAAATTTGGAATAAACATAATAAAATTAAAAGTAGAGTTTAGTGTCCGTATAAAAATACAATTTACAAATAATTAAAATTCAAAAAAATAGAAAAAGGAGCCTCCACGTTCGCTCTCATGGTCTAGAAATTCTCACATTAATCAGAGAAAAAGAAAAAACAGAGTCAATATAGAAATACAATTTAGAAATAGTTGAAATTCGGAATTAAAAAATAAGAAATATTAGAAGAGAAGACTAGAGTCCATATAGAAATACAATTTAGAAATAGTTGAAATTCGGAATTAAAAAAAGGAATATTAGAAGAGGAGACTAGAGTCCATATAGAAATACAATTAGAAAATAACTGAAATTCGAAATTAAAAATAAGGAATATTAGGAGTAGAGTATAGAGTACATATAGAAATACAATTAGGAAATAACTGAAATTCGGAATTAAAAATAGGAATATTAGAAGTAAAGTATAGAGTCCATATAGAAATACAATTAAGAAAAAAAATAGAAATTTATAATTAAAAAATAAGGAATATTAGAAGTAGAGTATAGAGTCCATATAGAAATACAATTAAGAAAAAAATAGAAATTCGGAAATAAAAAAAGGAATATTAGAAGTAGAGTATAGAGTCCATATAGGAATTCAAAATTAACTAAAATTTGGAATAAACATAATAAAATTAAAAGTAGAGTTTAGTGTCCGTATAAAAATACAATTTACAAATAATTAAAATTCAAAATTAAGAAAAACATGGGAAGAAGAGTTTAAAGTCAATATAGGAGTACAATTTAGAAGTAACTGAAATTCGAAATTAAAAGTTAAATAATATTGAAAGATGAGTTTAGAGTCCACATATAAATACAATTATAAATAATAAAAATTCAGAAATAAAAATAAATAATATTGGAAGAAGAGCATAGAGTCTATATAGAAATACAATTTACAGAAAATTCGGAATTAAAAAAATATTAAAAGACGAGTCTAGAGTCCATATAAGAATATATATATATATATATATATATATATATATATAATTTACAAATAACTAAAATTTGATACTAAAACTAATTAATAACTAACACATATATAAAATATACTTCATCCGTTTCACAATGTAAAACTTTCTAGCATTGCCCACATTCATTGAGATGTTAATGAATCTAGACATATATATGTGTTTAGATTCATTAACATATATATTTATGTAGGCAATGCTAGAAAGTCTTACATTGTGAAACGGAGGAAGTAATATAAATACTACACATTAGTAGTTTTGTAAAGTTATTGAAAAATTTAAAATTATTTTGTCATTTTAATATATTTGAATAATATAATGAGAAAACATATATGGTATTATATGAGAGAAAATATAATGATGCTAGCCACGTAATCTGCGTGGGCCACCATACTAGTTTCTAGTATTTTAGGAGCACTGATTTAAATGTACGAAAATCTATACATTATTACCACTTTATGCTATTTTATTTTCTTTTTTTCAATCTGTTTTTTGATTTTTCTTTCCTTTTTTGCCCTTTGCGGACCCACGGGACAATCAATCTGCTCTTTTTTTATAGCAATTTTACGGTCCTTAAAGAGTTAACATGAGGTACCACTTCTTTTATTGTATGTTTGGTATCTCTTGATACATAGATGCTATAATATATCAAATTTTACACTAGATTTAGTACCTCATGGTACCTCTCAAGTCCTGTAAAATTGCTATTCTTTTTCTCTCTCTTCTTGGAGCGACACTCGTCTTCCCTTGGCTGTCTCCTCCGAGCAGTGGTGGATCCGAAAAGAAATAGCAAGGGATCTACACAAGCTAGAACCCCCCCCCCCCCTCCCACGAGCTCCACCAGCGAAGGAAATCTATTATGTCGCTTTCTCGTAGTCATGTTCGTGAATCATGGATGTGTACAAGGCCAACTCCAATCGCCGATGCCGACTTACGCGTAACGTGAAGGCCTAGGCTGTGTTTAGTTTCTTAAATTGGGAAGAAGTTTAGAGAAAGTTAGTAGTTTGAAAAAAAATTAAGAGTTTATGTGAGTAAAAAAAATTTAAATGTGATGTAATGTGATAAAAAGTTGAGAGTTTAGGAAAGTTTGATGTGAACTAAACAGGGCCCAGCCTGCTAGTTCTCCATTTGTAGCCCAGAGTGGCAGACCATCGGCAGAGACGACCAAAAATTTGCCATATTCTCCACCTCATCCTCCCATGATCCATCCCAGTCCCAGTACCCCACACGCAACTGGCTCCTCCATTTCCTCTTCCCCGTTGATCCAAGTAGTCTTCACCATCTCCATCCGCAAAAGACTACACTGTATATCACTATATCCAGTAATCGATACTCCCTCTCTATTTATATATAATATTATTGATTTTTTAAATATATTTAATTATTTATCTTATTTAAAAAATTATTTAATTATAATTTATTTATTTATCATCAAATTTTATTTAAACCCGACTTAAATATTTTTATATTTATAAAGAATTTTGAAAGACAAACAATCCCGTGTTTAAAAAAGTCAACGATATCGTATATTAAAAAACAGAAATAATACTTATTTGTTAGATACGTCGGCAATGATCGGGAGAATGCACGATACACCATATGTCGCTATCATGGGTAGAAAACTGAGTTAGGAGCAGAGTGGCTGGCACTATATATTCACCACCACAAAAGCAACGGGGATATAATAGCCCTCACTCGTCAGTCTGCTTTTCTCACAGAAGAGAGCAGATCACTAATCGAATAAGAAAGTTGGTGCGCATCTGCTTGTACGCAAAAAATGGAACGAGACATCACCAGCCTCCCGACTAAAAGGTTCGTATGATTTCCTTAATTTCTTGGCAGAAACACTGTAATCTGGAGCCATGCACGGTCGCAAAGTAGTATCACTCCGTAGTAACACGTTCTGCTCCGCCGTGTCACTGCCAGGGTTGCTGTGGTCACCGGCGGCAACAAAGGGATCGGACTGGAGGTGTGCCGGCAGCTGGCTGCCGACGGCATCACGGTGGTTCTGACGGCCAGGGACGAGACGAGGGGCGTGGAGGCCGCCGAGAAGCTCAGTGGGATGGGCCTCTCCAGTGTCGTCTTCCATCAGCTGGAGGTCACGGACAGTTCTAGCGTTGCTCGGTTGGCTGATTTCTTGAAGACTCGTTTTGGCAAGCTAGATATACTGGCAAGCTCTCCTTTTCCTTGCTCGATCGATACAACAACTACTAGTAGTCTACCACTACTTTGCTTCGAACCTGACCAGTGAGAGATGTTCTGTTTGCAGGTGAATAATGCAGCGGTTGGCGGGATGGAGTACGTCCAAGGAGTGGATACCAACAAGGAACAGGTGGGTTCACGCATGATTCATGTTTTGGCCGGATTGTGATTGTGAATTACCTTCAGAATTCAGTTCGTCACCAAAATTACTGAATTGGCTCCAGCGTAGAACCTTTTTGTTGTAAGCAAAACTGAACCAAGTTTATTTGTTGATGCGCGCAACAGTTCGTTAGCATGGACAAGAAACAAAGACTTGCATGGTTGAATAAACAAGGCCGGGAGACGTACGACGCCGCAAAGAACGGCGTGCAGACGAACTACTACGGCACGAAGATTGTAATCCAAGCCTTGCTACCACTGCTCCTGCAATCCTCCGGCGAAGGAAGAATCGTTAACGTCTCCTCCGACTTTGGACTACTAAGAGTAGGTTCCTCAAACTGATCACACCGTGTCCCTGCAATATCTCGATTAAGGCAAAATTAAATCGAAATCGATCGAGATTTTTCCTTTTTACTCCCGATCAAGTAGGTCGTCAACAACGAGGATCTGAGGAAGGAGCTGGACGACGTTGATAACCTCACCGAGGAACGGCTGGACGAGGTGCTGGACAGCTTCCTGAAAGACTTCGAGGCCGGCGCGCTGGAGGCGCACGGGTGGCCGACGGCGTTCGCGGCGTACAAGACGGCCAAGGTGGCCATGAACGCGTACACGAGGATCTTGGCGAGGAGGCACCCGGAGCTGCGCGTCAACTGCGCGCACCCGGGCTACGTCAAGACGGACATGACCATCGACTCGGGATTCCTGACGCCCGAGGAGGGCGGGAGGAACGTCGTGACGGTGGCCCTCCTGCCGGATGGCGGCCCGACCGGTGCGTTCTTCGCTGAGGGCAAGGAGGCGTCGTTCCTGGGATGACGGCGGAGAGGCCAAAAAGTGAGGCCCTTTGGAGACGGAGTACAGACTACAAAATAATTGAGCTATTGGCACTAAATTATTATAATAAAAAATAATTAGTATCAATATATTACACTGTAGCAATGATAGTTTTTCTGTGATAAATAACTATATTTTATTGCAACGATTTACAATCGTTTTTTTATTTAGTATTTTTGTTGCGATAGAAAATGAGATATCGCCAAAAAAAAATCTTATTGTTATAAAAAACATGTTCTATCGTCATAATTTTAATGTTTGTGGCAATTTACATAGTACACGGCTGTGAAGTTACTTTTTACTATTTTTTTGTTGCCACGATCAACGAATTCGTTGCAATAAAAAAATTGTTGACTCATAATTTAACTTAATTTTTTCATATGGACATCAACTGAGACAAATTTTATATGAAAATTATAGCTCTTGACGAGATCTACAATTTTATAGGTGATAATTTTTTTAGATATTCAAATCTCAGTTAGGTAGTCTCAATGAAACGATATGCATTCTTCAATAGGATTGGTGCGTAGATGAGTTGGTAAAAGAGAGCACGCGTGAAGGATAGGTCATGGGTTCGAATCCTAGCCAAGACATTAATATTTGAACTTTTAATTTGGTACGTAGAACTAATGCCACATATGGAGTGGTGGCAATAATTTTTGTTGCAATATGAATTTTTTTGCCACATCTATTCTGTGGCAACATAGAAATTTATTACCAGTAAATAAAAATCATTGCAATAAACTATTACCACCTTATTTATTACCACGGATAGCAATGATTTTAAAATTTTGACAATATGTATTTGTTGTCACAATTTTAGTATTGATAGCATGATTTTTTTTTGATTACAAATGATTTTTCTAGTAGGTCGCCGCCTGTGACACCACCCATCGTCGCGAGATTCTCACTAGCGACGGGAATCTATCATGCCTCTCTCTTGTAGTCTTATTCGTAGACATGAACAAGGCCAACTTCATTTGCGATGCCGAGCTTCATGTGAAGGCCCTGCCAGTTTTGTGTCTGTAGCCTAGAGCGTCACCGGAGACAATCAGACAACTAAGAATGTGCCCTATTCTCCACCTCATCCTCCCATCCCAGTATCCCACACGCGACAGACTCCTCCATTTCCTCTTCCCCGTTGATCAAAGCAGCCTTCACCATCTTCCATCTCCATCAGCAAAAGACGAGACCTGTATCCAGTAAAACGATAGGCATGCCTAACCGATATTTCACAGATATGTTGTTCCGCGCGAGTGGCCATGGTCGGCCGAATGCACGAAATGTCGCCACCATGGGTAGAAAACTGAGCTAGTGGCAGAGTTGTTGACACAATTCACCACCACAAAAGGATTTTTTTTAACTTTCTTAATTTTTAATTTCAAAAATAAACTCTTTCAAAACTTGTTTTCAAAATTTGAACACTTTAGCCACACCAACCAAATTAGTGTGGCGAAATTACACTGGCACATCCATCTGGCTAGTGTGACAATGTTATTTAGTCACGTTTATCTAGCTAGCGTGACAACGTTATTTAGCACCACCACCCAAGCTCGCGTGGTAAGATAAAACTATCACGCCAAGTGTGTGTGGCGTGTCAGTATTCACATTAGGTGCGATAGCATGGTTAAAAGGTTCAGATTCTATAAATAACTTTTGGGAGGGTTTGTTTCAAAAATTAAAAATTAAAAAAGTTCAAAAAATAGAAAAAAAATCACACAAAAGCAACGGAGATGGAGTAATTAGAGCAGGTATAATAGCAGACTATAAGCCAGCTATAAACACATTTCGAGAAAATAAAAAAGGAGAAAGAATAGCAGCGGACTACAGATTTTTTGTAGCAAGCTACAGCATGGACTAAAAGATGAATATGTGTATGATAGATGGGACCAGATATTAATTATTTAGTACTAGTAATGTGCCCGTGCTAACGCTACGGTGATATCTTGTAATTCAAATGCTGTACATCCAAATTGCCAAAAAAAAAAACTTCCACGTACCGCTGTTCGTAATACAAAGTATAATACACATAAACCACAATAAGGACATAAGAGCCATTTTACAATCCACTTGATGTTCGATAACTATGCATCTTTGGAAATGGCATGAGAAGGGTAACAAATCTAGTTAAGTGGTATATTAGGAAAATTGGTTTCAGTGGCAAGGAATTGTCTCGATCATCTATATTATCTGCATAATATGATCACTGCTTCAGAAAAATATTATCTGCATACTATGACCACTGCTTCAGAAAAATATTATCCAGATCCCCACAAAACCTTAACAATTCTGATTGATCCAGTATGTAGGAGAATACTTGGATATCTATGTATGTGTTCAACTTGAAATGCCTTGCTTGTGCTGCAGAGAGGTGAAACGAAATCTTAAGAACTATTAAGGTGTTTCAAAACAAACAAAAAGGCTAGGCCTTGAACAACATAAATCAGGTTCATTTAAATTTTTAGCTTGCTCAATGTTTTCCTAGGCAAGAGTTAGCATAAACACCAACTTTAAACAATACCATATCTTAAGGGGAATCATGTTTGATCATCAAGTGGGGAATAATGCAACTATTGACAATCCTGCCAATTAGGTACAACACAAAATCATGTAAATCAGTGTATCATTTTTCAAAAAAGATAAGTTGATCAAATCATGTAATACCAGTCAAACCACACATCAGTCAAGCTGACCTCACCGCCCCAGAGGTCGCCGCTTCCCTGGCCCTTCACCCGAGCAGCACCTCCATGTGCCCTACAACAATGATATAGGCCTCCGCCTCTGCTGTCATTGGCTGCCTTGTAAATAACACTCGATGTAGTTCAATAGATGTCAAACCACCTGGTTAAACATGAGGCACATGATTTTTTTTGGTAGAAACTTGGAAAAGAAAACATTCCGAAATAGCACAATTTATTTGTACTGATAAATCGAAGATTATTTGGAAAAGAATACATAGAAGTAAGGAATGAACTGGATATGAAGAACATGATCTGAAATATGGGACCTGATCACTTAACATGACCTCAAATCGAGCAGTTCATGGGACTCTCATTCTCCCCTTCCCTACAAACATCAAGACAAACCACTAATATTGTACTGACAAAATTTGTAGCCTTGCTTGGGTAAATCATTGCATTTATTATTAATTGTTATACAACACTCCAACGGAGAACAAGGTATTTAGGTTAAAAAGATCAAGATAATAGAGCTTCGACATTTAGAAAAAAAAAACGTGCATATATAACCCTAATAATTAACTATTTGCCTAATGGAGAGCGGTGGCGAACTCATCAGTTCGGCCATCATGAATTGGTTGTAGAGTTTTTTTAGATAATAAATGTGACTCATATTTGCTTTCTCCGCTCCATTGCTCACCTATTCACTATCTATCAGTATGAAAAATGGAGCCACTCTACGGCGAGGAGAACCAAATTATACTGGAGATTATATCATTAATTACCTGAGTAAGCATTAAATCAATCACCTACCGTGCAATGTGCAAATGGGAATCTAGATCATCATGAGGCAATAGCACATGGGAACTGAAAAGGGGACGAGGCGTGATATTGAAACTGACCACATGTCGTAAGGTTTAGTAAAGTCATAGGCGGCTAGAACTCATTCCAGCCTGGGGCTTGGCAACATCCTGAATTTGTAGTGCGACGGTAGGAATGGTGACATCCTGTTTAGCAAAGAGAGGAAGTAATGTTTATTCTTCTGACATATAAAGTCAGAATTTGAGAAATCAAAATGGAACAATCCCATGCCTTTCTCCTTGCCCTGATTTCCTAGTCGTCAATCCACTGCCCTTCTCCTTGCAAAAAAAAAAAAAAAAAGTGCTGCACAAAAATCAAGTTGAATTTTCATTAAGAAATGAATTCAGTGATTAGGAGTAGATGAGAAAACCAAGCTTAAAACGTGAATGTAAGTAGCAAATGGAGATGTATTTTTAGGACGGAAATATATAATAAAGCATTTTCTAGATGTTTCCTACATTAAAGAAATAATGTATCTACTATTTATATGTTCTGCTTAAATTTACATTCATGAATATAGTTTAAAGCAATGTTTATAAAAAGTCATGTTATATGTTTTTGGATACCACCCATCTGTCCTATTTATATGCGCGTGTTTAATTTGTATTGTCAAATGTCGTCACAGCATTAGCATCGAATTTTGCGCATTTTATATTGGGCATAGTAAAGAATTAAGGAAAAACCAAAACTACCTAACACTAATTTCTCACTTCCATTGTATCTTATCAAAATAAGTAACTGTGAGCATGAGAAATGCAGTGCTAAATGTAGCTCCCGTAAGCAAACAAAAGGTGGAATATATTTTATATGGTAAGAACACACAAATTAGCAGCTTCCAAGCTCTGATTCCATGGCCATAGCTAAATATTACAACAGATTTTGTTACTTTAATCATATGGCCGCTGCATCTCTTCTCACGCAGAAAAAGGATCCAGAATCTCTTGTTAATAAAATGCATGTTCTGTTCCGTTTTCACATGTCACCGTACAATTAATACACAGAATCAGGAATTTGAACCGTAATGATTGAAGGAAAGGGATTGAGCAATGATTACCGTGTTCACGTCGTGGTGGAGAGGGCTCCGGTGGCTGCGGTGCAGAAGGGGGCGAGAGGTGAGGAGTCCTGGCGGCGGCGCAGGATCCTTGCCGGCGCGAGGGGCGCTGTCAATCTAGAGGCGGGAATCGACGGCGGCGCGATAGCGGGGCGTCGGCGACACGAGGGGTGGGGGATCGACGGCGCGTGACGGTGCGCGATCTGCGCTTGGTGGGACGTCGGTGGCATCGCGAGTCGATCGATGCGGTCGCTGTGATGGGCGCTGACGACATCAGTCTGGAGGTGGGATTCGACGGCGGCACAATGGCGAGGCATCGGAATCGACGGTGACGACGGCGCAATGGCGAGGCATCGGAATCGACGGTGGCGGCGGCGTGAGTGATTTTGGGGGGGTGGTGGTGCGCGAGAGGCAGAGAAGAGGGGAGAGGGAGTCGGGTGCGTGCGGAGGGGAGAGGGGGCACGGCGCGACGACGATGACGAGCGCTTGGTCTAGGGTTTTCTATGGAGGATGCGCGGCGGGAGAGAGGAGTTGGGTGCGAGAAGGAGAGTGGGATCGGGGGAAGCGCGCGGAGAGACGTGCGGGCGTGGGGCGAGTGGGAAAGATGCGATGGGATCCGTGAGACGATCCGATCCGTTGGTTCTATCGCAGATGATACATGCCGTTGGATTTGATGAATGAATACGTAGGTGTAGGTGTAAGAATGAGTTGGTGAATTATAGGGTAGATATTCTCTACAAGAGATTCATGTCATCATATTTTCCTACTTAAAAGATTAAATGAAGCGAGAGAGCAAAGCTATCTACTAACATGGAGATAGTCTATAGAGAAAAACGAGGCAATGGATTAGAGAGCTATAGATACCCATGTAGACATACCATTGAAGTGGTTTACTATTAATCGATTAATCTATTGCTAAGATGTACATGTTTTATAGATAGCACCTTACTTTATCATTGCGGGTGCTCTTATAGATAACTATTGTATGAATTGGCTATTAAGTTATGATTTAGAGGCTGTTTGGTTGGTTGCCACACTTTACCACGCCACACTTTAGTCATGCCACAATTTTTTAGGCATGTGTTTGGTTCGCTGCCGCAATTGTGTTATGCCACACTTTCTTAACTTTGAGACCCACGTGTCATACTCTAAAATTTAGAGCTAAGCATGCCACACTTGTGGCCAACTATTTCTAAGCCACATTTGTGCCACCATGCCACAACTAATTTAAACTTAGTTATAATAAGATTAGACATCAACCAAACATCCCTTAGAGCCATAAGTTGCCTATACTATTAAACTTGCTTTCATCCGTCTTCAATGGGCCTCGTTTTTGAGACCTCTCCGCCGTCATTCCAGGAATGACGCCTCCCTGCCCTCGTCGAAGTACGCGCCGGTCGGGCCGCCGTCCGGCAGGAGGGCCACCGTCACGACGTTCCTCCCGCCCTCCTCGGGCGTCAGGAACCCCGAGTTGATGGTCATGTCCGTCTTGACGTAGCCCGGGTGCACGCAGTTGACGCGCAGCTCCGGGTGCCTCCTCGCCAAGATCCTCGTGTACGCGTTCATGGCCACCTTGGCCATCTTGTACGCCACGAACGGCGCCGTCGGCCACCCGTGCGCCTCCAGCGCGCCGGCCTCGAAGTCTTTCAGGAAGCTGTCCAGCACCTCGTCCAGCCGTTCCTCGGTGAGGTTATCAACGTCGTCCAGCTCCTTCCTCAGATCCTCGTTGTTGACGAGCCACTCGATCAGGAGTAAAAAACAAAATGAGGAAACCTCGATCGATTTCGATTTAATTTTGCCTTAATCTTGATGTTGGAACACAGTGTGATCAGTTTGAGGAACCTACTCTTAGTAGTCCAGCGTCGGAGGAGACGTTAACGATTCTTCCTTCGCCGGAGGATTGCAGGAGCAGAGGCAGCAAGGTTTGGATTACAAGCTTCGTGCCGTAGTAGTTCGTCTGCACGCCGTTCTTTGCGGCGTCGTACGTCTCCCGGCCTTGTTTATTCAACCATTCAAGTCTCTGTTGCTTGTCCATGCCAACGAACTGTTGCGCGCGTCAACAAATAAACTTTGTTCAGTGTGACTTACAAGTTACAACCAACTGGTTCTACGCTGAAGTCGATCAGCCAATTCAGTAATTTTGGTGACTAACTGAATTTTTACGGGCAATCGCAATCCGGCTAATATATAAATCATGCGTGAACCCACCTGTTCCTCGTTAGTATCTACTCTTTGGGCGTGCTCCATCCCGCTAACTGCTGCGTTATTCACCTGCAAACAGAGCACATCTCCTCTCACTGGTCAGGCCCGAAGCAGAGTTGCTGTATCGATAGAGCAAGGAGAAGGAGAGCTTACCAGTATTTCTAGCTTGCCAAAACGAGTCGTCAAGAAATCAGCCAACCGAGAAACGCTGGAACTGTCCGTGACCTCCAGATGATGGAAGATGACACAGGAAAGGCCCATCCCTCTGAGCTTCTCGGCGGCCTCCACGCCCCTCGTCTCGTCCCTGGCTGTCAGAACAACCGTGATGCCGTCGGCGGCCAGCTGCCGGCACACCTCCAGCCCGATCCCTTTGTTGCCGCCGGTGACCACAGCAACCCTGGCAGTGACGCGGCGGAGCAGAACGTGTTACTACGGAGTGGGGAATTGCCACTATTTTTGCGGCCGTGCATGGCTCCAGAATCCAGATTACAGTGTTTCTGCCAAGAAACTAGGAAAATCGCACGAACCTTTTGGTCGGGAGGCTGGAGATGTCTCCTTCCATTTTATGCCGCACAAGCTACTACTACTGATGCTCTCTTCTCTGATAAAAGCAGACTGGCGAGTGGCGACTATATACTCGGTCTGTAGTACTGCCCTCTAAGGTCAGTAACATGTGGATCCGTTAAATCCAAGGTACCAACCACTGAAAATGAGAGGATGATATTGCATGGGATCTTTTTCCATCGGACGCAATAGGCATCGAGGCGCACACATTGATCTATGATTTTATGGCACACATGACACATCATCATTCAACAAAGCATTTAGAATTGTATCCCCGCAAAAAAAAATGCATTTAGAATTGTAGATCCTCATTCTGAATCCAACTAGAACTAATTTCTGGAAGAAAGCAAAGAAGGTTTCAGGGGAAATTCTCACCTGCTTCGTAGCGTCCCTGGAAGAGCTATTGCTGATGAAGTAGTGCCACGGTTTCTGTTCTGTCCGCAAGCAGTCAAGCAACGATATTTAAACCGCGGCATGTTTCACTCCAGACATCTAGCAACTACCCAGTATAATACGGTAAAGTGGTAAAAAAAAAAAGCAAGAGGACAGAGCAAATAAATTGTGCTGCCAAACACAGTTTGTTGCCACCATTTCCAGAGAAAATAGATAAAATCATGATATCGATGTAAAGCTCTACTATTTCAACTTCAATACATCAGTTTGAGTACACAAGTCAAAACTACATTGTCTGTTGGGCACAACTACTTTGACAATCTCTTATTCTGAAACTATAGGTTAAAGAAAGCAGAAACTATGATCACACAAAAGATGCCTCGCCATTCCGATCAAAATAAGCACCTGTTGGACCATCATCAGGCAAGAGAGCTACCTTTACGGAGTTACTAGCACCCTCTTCAGGTGTCAATACTCCCATGTGCATTGAGATGTCAGTCTTGACATAACCAGGTGTCAAACAGTTGATACGTAGTGTAGGGTACTTCTTGGCAAGAATCCTTGTGTATGCATTAAGGGCAGCTTTGGCAACTTTGTAGGCGGAAGATCCACCGGTTGGCCAACCATGTGCTTCTATTAAGTTCACCTTGAAATCGTCTAGGAACAAATCCAACAGCTCCTCTAGTCTCTTTTCAGTAAGACTGTCGATGTCATCGAATTCTTTTCTAAGATCTTCACTGTTGAAGTTCTGCTCAAGAAAAATGATATGATTCAGTGAGAATTATCAGTGCAGATATGCAAGAAACATGGGAGGGCAGGATAAGAACTTCCTCATTTCATTTAATCCCCTGTAAATGTAATTCCTAGTCACTATTTTAATGAACATAAGTTTTTGACGATGGTATATATCCTGCACATAAGGAAAAAAAAAAGGCAGCTGCATACAAAGAAACGTGTTACACTGCATGAAGATCATAGAAATGCCTTTCGCAAAAGCTCGCAGGGAAGAGAAGAGTTGTCCTACAAGTTTATATGAACAAGGCCCCTAGACAATTTAGCTTTCTAGGGAATCAAAAAATAGGAGGCATAGTTAATCATGCTTCTGTAGAAATATATTTGTATAACTTAATACTGAAGACAACTAGTTAGTTACTTGTCCAGTGTAACTGCAGCAGAGTTTATAACTTACTCTCAGTAGTCCAAATCCTGATGACACGTTAACAATTCTTCCCGAGGAGGATAACAGAAGAAGAGGAAGTAGTGCTTCTGTGACAAGCTTGGCACCATAGTAGTTTGTTGTAATGCATGATTTAGCTTCATCATAGGTCTCCTTTGAATTTTCTCTCATCCATTCAACTCTCTGATCTACATCCATGCCTTCAATCTGTCCATGCATAGAAAGGGTTAGATGTTCTATAAACCTATACCCATGCATACTTTCTTGTTTTGTCTCATGCACAATTTTTTATAGCATGCACAGAAATATAGTTGTGTACAAAAGATGGACAGGTTGTAGGCAAAAAGGCACCAAACAGTTAATAAATACATTATTTGAAACATGGTGTCCTCAGGTATGTCAGCCTAAAACAATGATGCCTACAATAAATATCAGCGTGGCAAGTTTTAATGTACTTCAAGAAAAAGGTAATATTATATTTCTGCTATGGTTGATAGACAATAAGAAACAACTACAAACAACTATAGGGACAAATCAATTAAGTATAGTCTTTAAACTCTTGTTTGAGTACCTGATCTTTAACTTTGGCAACCAAAACTGGATCCCGATCAACACCTGAAATTCCTGCGTTATTGATCTACAAACAGTATGAAACACACAATTATGGTAGCATACATGCAGAGAGAATGATCTACAAACTATATGAAACACACAATTATGGAGTATATGATACTTTTTGTTTACCAGAACTGTGACTCCATACAGCTTAGTTTACTAGTGTATCAACAACGGGTGAAGTTTTCAAGAGCTGTGAAAACATCAGCTAATGTTAACTTCTATGAATTACAAGCACAATAAAATAAGCCCATGGCTGCCATGTCCCTTAACATTGAATCATGTACTAGTATTAACATTCATGTTCTTATAATATAGAATCGTTAATCATATGCACTTATCCAGTATAAGGAAATGATTCAATTTAGTACTGCATCAAGCAAATAACTAAAGTTTTGTGTTAACCTTTTATACTCAGTTTTACTTTTAAAAAACACATTTTATACTTAGTTTACCAAATTCAGTTCATGTCTGAAAGTTTGAACATAATGTAAAGCTCTCCCTAACGAAGTATGGCACTGAGTGGAACAGTATGAACTCCAATTTCACGAATTTCGGAGGCCCTAAAGCATCGAAGAGCCAAAATCACGAAGGGAAGCCCATACCAAGATATCAAGCCTCCCGAACTGATCCCGGACGAAATCGGCCAGCCGGGCGACGCTGGCAGCGTCGGTGACATCCAACTGGTGGAACACGACATCAGAATCGGCGGCGCCGGAGCGCCTGATGCCGTCGACCGCCTCCAGCCCCCTCGCCTCGTTCCTCGCCGTCAGGACGACCCTGAGCCCCCGGGACGCGAGCTGCCTGCAGGTCTCCAGCCCGACCCCTTTGTTGCCCCCGGTAACCAGCGCGATCCTGATGATACTAAGGCCACAGTGCCACGAACGCACAGTTTAGCGGCGGAAACCGGAAAGCTCCAGTACCTTCAGCTGGCAGTGGAAGGCGGGCGGGTGGTCGAGCGAAGTAGCGCGAACCTCTTGCTCGGCGGATTCGAGATGGCCGCCGCCTCCATCGTCGTCGTTCCTCCACGATTCGCCGCGGCGGGGCGAGGGATGTGAACTCCGCGACCGAGCAGATGGTTCATGAGTTCATCCTTCCGCTCCGCCCTTTCCCCTTCCTTCCTCTGGTCTAGAGCGGGCCGAGTCTGGCGAGGCCGTGGGCACGTGGCGTTTGGTTTTGGGCCAAGCAGCCTAGCCCGCTGGGCGCTGGCCCAAACAGGTGGAGGAGCTGTGGAGGACACAGATACGGCCTGAATTGCTTGCAGGGCCATAAATCCATTATTTCCTGGGCCATCCTTGTTAGTTTGTGTTGAAGTCATATGATCATATCTCGTGACCAACTTGGCATACATATTGGACACAAGTTCTATCAATCCTCCACAAAATTTTAGATTCGAACATTTGTCAGACAAGAACAGGTTTTCAGAATCTTGGTGACCAGCACACTAACAGCTGGAGGTTAAAGGATTGTGCATTTGTTTAGAGCATATAGAGATTTTGTATTCCTTTCCTAGGATTACCGTCTACTACCAAATGCTGGAGGCAGGATTGTTTAAGGTGACCCATGTTCTGTGTGTTCAGTGGACTACTGACTGTAGTGACTACTGAGCTGTCTATTGCAGTTGTAGATCTTGCAACACGTGGGGCAGTATCAATTATTTTGCTTCGTAATCTTTACAGCTGGTCGCTGACTATACGACTGAGACTATGCAGCTATGCATATTATGATCGAAATTAAACTCAACCGTTGGCCATTATGGCCAACCTTTTGGGTCGTGCATATACGGCTAGTCGGCGACCTCACTGGAATGATAAAAGCCATATCTTTGCAATGTAGATATGTACGCATACGGCAATACGTCATGGCGAGTGTCCTATGTCTACGTTTATCAACTCTGAGCTTCATCGGATAAAATGCTAGAAAGCCTGAAACACCTGAAAGCCAAAGTGGACCGTGGACTAAAATGCCATCTAAACGACAAAGTGAGCAGTCCATCTTAAACTCGGTGGGCTAATAAAGCCCTCGTTTAGTTCTAAACCTTTTTTAAAAAAACTTCAAACTTTTTTATCACATTAAAATTTTCCTACGTATACAAACTTCCAATTTTTCCATCACATTGTTTTAATTTCAACTAATAAAGCCCTTGTTTAGTTCTAAACTTTTTTAAAAAAAAACTTTAAATTTTTTTATCACATTAAAACTTTTCTACGTATACAAACTTCTAATTTTTCCATCACATTGTTTCAATTTCAACTAAACTTTTAAATTTAACGTGAACTAAACACACCTAGAGTGATAAACAAATCAGCCGAGCGTCCGAGCCGCCGTGACGCTATCGCAACTTGCACGTGGGCTTCCTAGCGAAACAACGGGCGTGCGTACGCCGTGCCGTGTGCGCACGTTATCCTAATCGCATCGGCCAATGCGAGAAAACAATGGCCGTCGCATTCACCCTGCCGCGTACGCACCACCCGCCGCCGGTGACGAAAAACGCCGTGCCACTACCCAACGATAACGTAATTTAGCTGGCGCCGCGAGGGCGACTCTGATTCCGTAATGGTGAGGGCTCACGAAGTCAAGCGCGAAAGAGAAGATTCTCACGACGCTGAAAATCTGAGATGCTAAATGCCTTCTCGAAGCTTTGCACACTCACTGTAATATACGTATTACTGCTTGATTGGTAAACTAATATGGGGATATACTGTGGTAATCAGCAGTGAACAGTGACCTCACTACTACGTAGTCACTAGTGCTCTACACTATGTTACACGATAGATGACAAGTCACCAGGAGAACGGGTTGTTGTGACCATTATTTTGCGGCGGCCTTTTTGTTTGTTTGTTCACCTTCCACCGGAGAGGCCGGACACGGCCGAGACGTCGGCGGACATGGGGCTGGCGGTCGACGTGACGGTGGAAGGGAAGGACATGGCGAACGAGTCGAACCCGTCGTTCTGCATCAGCGCCAGCATGGTGTAGCTCACCATCGTCGGCGCCACCTCCGGCATGGGTGCGTCGCCGTCCAGGTACTGCGTGACCTGGCGCATGGTGGGGCGCGCGTCGGGCAACGGGTGCGCGCACATGAGCCCCAGCTTGAGCGCCAGCCTCGCCTCGTCGGCGTCGTACTTGCCGCACAGCCTCGCGTCCACCGTGTCGAGGGCCGCGTGCCGGCGCTCGTGCTCCTGCACCCAGTCCAGCAGCACGTTCTGGTCGTCGGGCGCGATGCAGCCGAGCGGCCGCCGCCCGCAGGTGACCTCCAGCACGAACACGCCGAACGCGAACACGTCGGTGACCGGCGTCGCCTTGCCCGTGCGCACCAGCTCCGGGGCGAGGTAACCCATGGTGCCGACGACGTGCGTCGTCTGCGGGTCAACGCCGTGGTCGTACAGCCTCGCGAGGCCGAAGTCGCCCAGCCTGCCGTTCATCTCGCCGTCGAGGAGCACGTTGCTCGCCTTGATGTCCCGGTGGATGACGACCTGCTCCCAGTCCTCGTGGAGGTAGAGCAGGCCGGAGGCGACGCCCTTGATGATCTGAAACCTCTGCCCCCAATCAAGAACAGGCTTGGTCTTGTCGTACAAGTACTTGTCGAGGCTGCCGTTGGACATGTAGTCGTACACCAGCAGGAGCTCGCCCTTGCGCCGGCAGTAGCCGAGCAGCTGCACGAGGTTGCGGTGCCGGAGGTGGCCGATGCTGACGACCTCCGCGATGAACTCCTTCATCCCTTGCTTCGAGTCGTGCGACACCCTCTTCACGGCGATCTCGAGGTTGGATTTCGCGAGCACGCCCTTGTACACCCTGCCGAATCCGCCGGTGCCGAGCAGCTGCTTGTTCTTGAACCCCTTTGTCGCCTGGTAGAGCTCCTTGTAGGAGAAGCGGTGCGGTCCGAACTCCACCTCCCAGTCCTCCCGCACCTCGGCGTACCTCACCCGCCTCCGGACGAACAGGAAGGCGGCGATGACCAGCGCGAGGACGAACGCCGCGGTGGCGATCGGGAGCACGATCTCCAGCACCTTGGAACGGGGCTTCGGCCCGAACCGCGGCAGCGCCGGGAGGCTTGAGGTGTGGAGAGAAGGAGCGGCGCCGTTCTGGGAGAAGCTCCAGCCGAGAACGTAGTGCCGCGTGTAGATGACGCCCGTGGCCGCCGAGAACCCGACGTACGCCGTGTCGGTCACGACGGACGAGAGGTTGACGGGCGCGGAGATGAGGGGCTTACTGGGCTTGGGAACGTCGAGCGGCGCCATCGTCACGTTGAGCACCGTGGTGGCGCCGTCGTAGTCCACCCACACCTGCATCGGCTGGCGGCTGATCAAGCTCAGATTGTTGAAGGCCCCCGTGGCTTCGTCGTAGTAGCCGGCGCTGTGGTTCTGCACGGACTTCATGCTGTTGATGTCGACGCCGATGTGGTTGCTGTTCATGTCCTGGAACTCCGGGTTGAGCATGGTGTCGAGCTCGACGGCGAAGATGTTGTTATCGGCGTTGCCGTTGTCGGTGACGTTGAGGATGCCGAGGTACTGGCCGGCGTTGAAGGTGGAGAGCCGCGTGCTGGGCGCGACCACGAACGCCATGCCGTTGTCGCTCAGCACGGTGAAGTTGGACACGATGGCGAAGACGAACGCGGCCGAGAAGGACTGGACGGCGCCGCCCGCCGCGCCGCCCCGCAGGCGGATCGGCGTCGGGTGGAACGCGTGCCCGGCCATCTGGTTCGTGCCGTTGCTGAGCACGAGGAGGCCGTTGGGCGCCACGGCGGCCATGCCGTCGAGCGTGAGGTTGGCACCGCCGAAGCCGTTGTAGGTGAACTCGTCGGCGGCGAGCACGCCCCCATGATCAGAGCCAACGACCGCGAGCAGGAGGAGGAGGAGCAGCAGCAAGCGGTGATTACCCATCGGGAGATTTGCTTCCGTTTGGGAGTTGCAATTAGCACAGGGCATATGATGTGTAGTCACCGCTATTCGAGTCATAGCATCAAATGTCTGAACAGAAGACTCGCTATTCGAGTCAATGCATGAACACCGGACACCAACCATTATCCCAGGTTTACTGGTTGTGTGTGGCATACTGGCAGTGGCATCACATCGTTCACACTCCTCGCTACACTACACAGACAGACAGACTGCACCGGCCTTAGAAATATCGTGCTCGAGAGGGAGTTGCAACTAACACAGGGCATATGGTAGTAGTTCTACTCAAATTGGTTACAGATGAGGCCACAAGGGGCGTGCATTAAACAATTCAGATTTCGACGATCCTGCGAATCGTAGTCAAGGAAATACAGATAAAATAGTATCATATCATAAGCAACAATTAAGCTGAGTTTGATAGGAGTGAGCGGTTAAGCGTCAATGCGTCACAGTACAGTACAGCACAGCGAAATGAGGACACACTAGGCAGCAAACTACGACGAAATTGGGTTGGTGACGCACTGACGCCCACTCTTTTGACTCATCCGCAGCCATTTCGCCCTTCTTTTTTCTTCCTTCCGAGGAAAAATATCTCGTCGGGGTATCTCATCTCAGTGCAGCATAAAGAAAAAGGACCCCATCACTGAACATAGTCAAATGAAAATGTCATGTTTAAATAATCTCGCTAGGTAGCTTGGTGGTGCCGACTCGCGATTCCAAACACCTCAACGACCCTAGAAAATGAGGCGAGTGGAACGGACAAACGAGGTGACCCACAGGATATATCAGCCGGGCTGATGAAATGGCAGTGATTAGCCGGATGACGAAGCTTCGTGCGGACGCGGCCGCCGGGCTGTAGCTGCAACTGCAGGTCTGCACGGGCTGTGCCTATGCGTGCTGTGTGCTGGGATGCTGGATCACATTCACAAGGTACGAGTAGTTGAGAGGCGAGCGCCCGCCGCGTCGATAGTTATGGCGTTCTCGGCGACTTTGTGCGTGTTTTGTGGGGGCAGGGAAGCCGGCAGCGGAGACGCGGCCGGAAAGGAGGACCGGACGCTTGAGACCGCTGACCTTTGACCCGCATGATCGGCGGTCACTGTCTCGTTGAGGCTAATTGGCATCCGCATCACGGCAATACACATAGCGTCCACTCCATTCCACACCCCGTTTCAGCCGTCGTTTATGATGATCGCGCAATGAGTGAATGAAGGGTTGGTGATCTTACTCGAGAGAGAGGGGAGAATTTTTACTCCCCTCGTTCTCACGACACATCACCAATCTGTACGAGACTGAAAGTTGCAATCGCGCCCAGACCGTATCTAGACTACTGGGTTTTACATTTGGTCCGCTTCACACGCACCAACAGAAGGAAAAAGGAACAGGTGGCTGAGAGTAACCTGAGTTAAACACCGGGGCCGTGACTTGACTGACACAATAGAAGCAGCAAAGCTTGGGCATTTGGTGAGGCACTGATTGAAGCTCAGCACTAGGCGAAGTGCAGGGCATGGTGCTTCCCAAACCAGAAATGCCGTTCTTTGTCCTGCTCCTCTTCCTCGGCCTCGGCTGCCTCCGCCCGGCGGCGGCGACCGACGAGCGGTTCGTCTTCAACGGGTTCACCGGCGCCAACCTCAGCTTCGACGGCATGGCAACGGTGACCTCGAACGGGCTGCTCATGCTGACCAACGGCACGAACCAGCTCAAGGGCCACGCCTTCTTCCCGTCGCCGCTCCAGTTCCAGAGGGGGCCCAACAGCACGGCGATGCAGTCCTTCTCCACGGCCTTCGTCATCGGCATCATCGGCGCGTTCGAGGACCTGAGCAGCCACGGCATGGCGTTCATCATCGCCAAGAGCAAGAACCTCACCTCGGCGCTGCCGGGGCAGTTCATGGGGCTCGTCAACTCCGCCAACAACGGCAACGCGACCAACCACCTCTTCGCCGTGGAGTTCGACACCATCCTCAACTCGGAGTTCAACGACATGAGCGGCAACCATGTCGGGATCGACGTCAACGGCCTCAACTCCGTCGACGCCGACAACGCCGGGTACTACGACGACGGCACCGGCGACTTCAAGAACATGAGCCTGGTGAGCCGCAGGCCGATGCAGGTGTGGGTGGACTTCGACGGCCAGACCATGCAGGTCAATGTCACCATGGCGCCGCTGGAGGTGGCGCGGCCAAAGAAGCCCCTGCTGTCCAAAATCGTCAACATCTCCTCCGTCATTGATGACACCGCCTACGTCGGCTTCTCCTCGGCGACCGGCATCCTCTTCTGCCGCCACTACGTGCTCGGCTGGAGCTTCAAGATGAACGGCGCCGCGCCGGCGCTCAACATCTCATCCCTGCCCTCCCTGCCGGTCACGTTCCCCAAGCCGCGGTCCAAGACGCTTGAGATCGTGCTGCCGATAGCCTCGGCGGTGCTCGTCTTCGCGGTGGCCGCCGCCGTGTTCGTGTTCATGCGGCGGCGGCGCATGTTCTCGGAGCTCAAGGAGGAGTGGGAGGTGACGTTCGGGCCTCACAGGTTCTCGTACAAGGACCTGTTCCACGCCACCGACGGGTTCAGCGACAAGCGGCTCCTCGGCATCGGCGGGTTCGGGCGCGTGTACCGTGGCGTGCTCCCGTCGTCCAAGGCGGAGGTCGCCGTGAAGAAGGTGGCGCACGGGTCGAGGCAGGGGATGAGGGAGTTCGTGGCGGAGGTGGTCAGCATCGGCCGGCTCCGGCACCGGAACCTCGTGCAGCTGCTCGGCTACTGCCGGCGCAAGGGCGAGCTCCTGCTGGTGTACGACTACATGCCCAACGGCAGCCTGGACAAGCAGCTGTACGACCAGGGCAAGATCACCCTGAGATGGGCGCAGAGGTTCCGCATCATCAGGGGCGTCGCGTCCGGGCTGCTCTACCTCCACGAGGACTGGGAGCAGGTGGTGGTGCACAGGGACATCAAGGCCAGCAACGTGCTGCTCGACGCCGACATGAACGGCCGGCTCGGCGACTTCGGCCTGGCGCGGCTGTACGACCACGGCACCGACCCGCACACGACGCACGTGGTGGGCACCATGGGCTACCTGGCGCCGGAGCTGGGGCACACCGGCAAGGCGTCCAAGGCGTCGGACGTGTTCGCGTTCGGGGCCTTCATGCTGGAGGTGGCGTGCGGGCGGAAGCCCGTGGCGCAGGACGCGCGCGACAACCGCGTCGTGCTCGTCGACTGGGTGCTCGACCGGTGGCGCGCCGGGGCGATCACGGACACGGTGGACCCGCGCCTGCACGGCGACTTCGTCGAGAGCGAGGCGAGCCTCGTGCTGCGGCTGGGCCTGCTGTGCTCGCACCCGCTGCCCGGCGCACGGCCGGGGACGAGGCAGCTTGTGCAGTACCTGGAAGGCGACGTGCCGCTGCCGGAGCTGTCGCCGACGTACCAGAGCTTCAACATGCTGGCGCTCATGCAGGACCAGGGGTTCGACCCCTACGTCATGTCCTACCCGATGACATCCACCAGCGCAGGCACCTTCTCTGACCTCTCTGGAGGTAGATGATGACCCGTTCCCATCAGCCGGATGTAGTTAATCAGTACCTAACTAGTATCATCCTGTTTTGTTTAAGATCAGAACTTTGGTGTTGTTATGTTTATATCTATGATGTAAAGTGGTGTTACGAGAATAGCTCAGTGTTCAGATAAGAGCTGAGAAATAACAGATCTGAAATTAAACATTTCGGGCTTTACCTCCCACTATAAATTTTCTCCTCTGATCTGATTGTCGACGTCTACTGTCTGCACCCTGCCCGTACTCTCATAATCGAGATGTTGAATCCCTCGTAGGCTGTCTTTAGTTCCATACCAAAATTGGAATTGGAAGTTTAAAGAAATTAAAATAATGTGATAGAAAAATTAGAAGTTTGTGTCTATAGGAAAGTTCGATGTGATGAAAAAGTTAGAAGTTTGAAGAAAAAAGTTGGAATCTAAGCATCAAAATTGAGGACCCGGGGAGTCTATACTTTGCAGATTTCGTTCAGTGGTAGCTTATTCAGTTTTTTCCCCGAGCTCATCTTTTCCAGTTTTTGTCCATTTGCGGATCACGATTAGTGCTTCCAGTTACTAGACAAAGTGATATGTCTGCAAGTTTCTTGCTTCAAGGACTAAAATTTCTGGATAAACATGCTTCAATTATGCATTGAAGCAAACCTCAAAACTTTTGTGGAACATGTCCTTGTAGGAGAAATTGCGATCAAATTTGGTCATGGTCTTGTAAATATGTACATACCTCTTTCTTAAGTAAATTTGGTCCGCCTATTTTAGGCCGGCCCGGCTAAAAAAAATTTGGTCATGGTTCACTGGACAAGAGCCAAACAAGACCAAATACAGGTACATGAACAAACAATTTTAAAGGGTGTATAGTTGAATCTGTAGCATTCAAATGTGCATGGAGATTCATGAGTGGTTGAGATACTGTTAACAAACTATAGAAAAATGAATGAACCAGTCAAAAACAATTTATTGGCAATTTTTATATCTAAGTTATTCGCGATTTAAAAACCAAGGCTGGCAAATAGACTAAAATACAAAAACAAAATTAACTCCAAAATTAAGTTCCAAAATACAAATTTTAGCTACGGATGATAGACCAACAAACTGACGATGAGAGCCTTCTCACGAGGTAGAGGACCTCCTTTGGCTTACATATTCTAGCTTTGAGATAAGGCACGAGCTTTTATTTCGCTCCAGTAAAATATAAAAATAGGTTTGTTGAGGAGTTAGGTATTGGTGTACAAGTTTAGTTCATTTGACCTTTAATAACCTTACTTATTGCAAGAAACTGAATTTCTGGAAGTGTACAAGATGACAACCACGCCATAATTTGTCTACTGCAGCAATTGTCTTAGATATGGTGATATAATAAGCTAACCCAAAAGAATTACCCGTGTGAATCGGCTTTAATTTCTGATGTCAACGGTGATGCAGACTTGGACACTTGGTGCTTCCAGAACCCCGATTTAAGAACCTGAGAGATCGAGACTGAAGCCCCACCCATAGGTGATGTCCAACAACCAAACAGAATATTATCCTATTGTGTACACAAACAAATAGAAGAAAACGTCAGTCCAAAAACAGTTTTAGATTTTAAAAAGGAACTGAAATATTAAATGTCTCATTCTCCAAAATTAGTAAAACAGTTCATATGCACAAACTGTCAACAAGTATACAAGAAACTGGCAAGCAAATACTCAACAATCAAATGGTATGCCAATTTGCCATGACGAATTAAAGCATTTGGGATATCGTCCGAGTAATACAATCAATAGATCATAAGGTCTACTGACTACTTGAACCTTTTTAAAATAAAAAGTACATTGTTTCAACAAATAATACATGCCCCAGCCTTGGCATCTGAATTAGCAGTGATAATATGTAAGCAACAAAAAGCAATGGTGTTCTTAGTTCCTGGCATGGATCAAATATATATTATCAATCCAGCCAAAAATACATGTCCCAAAATGCTTCAGAGAAGCTCTTTAGTGCTCTTACATCAACAACATCTGTCATAACAACTTCCCAAAAATGTAGGGCGCTCCAGACCCAACGATAACAATAACTTGGTCATTATAGATCACAAAGTACAAGTTCAGTCAAAACTGCAAAGTATTTGTTTCGTAATATGGTAGATCCTTCCAAACCAATTCATAAAACTGGTATGGATTCCAGGCAGGGGCTGCAAAAAAGCTTCAAGTCAGAGACAATGACAAGAAAATGCAAAAATAATTGTTACCGATTTAAGGGATGAATGCCACTAGGCAACCTATCAAAAGTGAAAGCTACCAATCTGGATATAAAAATGTCATACACTCCTAGTTTAAAGAAGAGATGTCCCATCAAAAGTGTGGGTCACTCACAGTCCACAATGCCAAGTTGGCGATTGATAGTTCTGCAAAATTTGGACTTGCACCATTGATCTCAGTAATTATTGTTATTTGTGTTTCTTGGGTTAGACATTTCTCAGTTAGTAGTTTTACAGTCGCAGGGCTGACAGCCAAACAACACAGTCTCAATTTCCATCTAGAATTCTTGGAGTCTCTGGTAGGTATGTCAACCTAACACAAGTGGGCATTGGTTGGGTATTCGACTATCATGTAGTTCAGACTCAAGCAATGTGCCCTTTTCCTAGAGATACCTAACAAGGTATTGACAAACTTTACTAGGTATTTAAGTAGGAGTAACTTTTATGGAGTTGGAATAATGGGCACTTTCAATTCTAACACAAATTTAGTTTTTTGAAATCCAAGTTAATGTGTTTTGCAGCTGGGAACTTCCAAATGTCATAAAAAATTAATTGCATGAACACAAAGCATTTTTTTCACTACTTGCATGATTGCAGTACAATGCAGCTGAAATAAATACCTGTGTAACATGGATGTTAGAAAAAATCAAGGTGTTCAATTCCTATTTGAAAGAACGAAATTGTAGTACTCTTCCCCATATAGTTTCCTGAAAATACAAGAAAAAACTATGATCTACTGTAAATAAGGATGTGCCAATTTAATAATATAAACAAGCAAAAGAAAGAAAAAATCCACCAATGCAGAATTTGGTGCTTTCATGGAGAAACACCAGGATATGATTTACTCTTTTTTAAGATCTTGCAGACCTCTCATATTGATTCATTCAAACCACCACTAATTGAAAAATGATTTGAGCCTACCAATAGTAGCCATTGCAATTTGCAAGTCTAGCTGTTTTCTAAAAGGTGTTGCCCTGTTGTTTGCTCACTGGCAGCAGTGTGCAAGGCCAGCCCCAACACTAAGGCTCTGCCATTATATCAAACTTGGTCCAGCACGTTTAGCAAGATATTGTTCAACAAAACACCAATAGACTATAAATCCAGAGTATATTAAAACATTTCACAGTCTATTTGGTAACATTAACATGTGTAAATCATATGAAAAGCGCTACATGTGAAAAGGTTGAAGTACAAATCAAGGAACTCAGCCCATATGTTATTGCTATCTACTTGGTTCACATAAATTGATAGTTAACATCAAATAAATTTGGATCAGGCTGAATGGAAAGGCTAGAAAAAAATGATGATATTTGGCATGCAATGTACTATAGACATGCAACCTGATCTAGGATAACAAAATTGGACAGCACTATCCATGCAGTAAGAGATTTGTTTGCCTACCATCTAGAATAGACGGGAAAAGAATATCTATATATGATGCCCAATAAACAACTGAACACAGCAGTCATGGATAATTATGAAAGGGGAACAAACAGAAAATGGATTCCACTTACGCTAAATCAGCTATTGTATCACACTTGTTCACACCTTTTCCTTCAGGGAATTCAAGGCAAGAATAGTGCATTATCATTTCTTTTATGGTTTGTTTTGTGCTCTTCAAATCATTGTCCCACAAAATACTCTGCGGAAAAGAATTACAATGTAATGTGATGTCAATGAAGGAAATAAAGCATAAAATTATTATTAATTTAGATGTTAGGGCAAAGAAACCTGTTTTAGCCCCATGAAAAATAGGACAACTGAGAGAGGAGATGCTAACATAATAAAACTTTGACACTGAAATAGGAATGGTGTGGGAAGAACAATCAAATACCTTTCTCACGTACTCTCTTTTGACATCCTCCCAAGGTGTTTTTCCTTTGGGACAAAAAATTGAGGCATTCCACATGGCACCTCTGGCAACCATTACAGAAGCGGCACCTGGCAGTTGCAGAAATCAAGATACAAACCAATAAAAAGAAACACAAAAAATAATATCTGGCAATGCAATGAACTCTCCAAGTAACAACAGTAGCAATTCTGACAACCGCTAACAATCTCTAGTTTCCAAGAAATGCTATGATACTCATGGTTGCTCATAAATGAATATTGTAGTCACTGAATTTTTCAGATGTTCGGTTTCCTATGGTATTTAGGAAACACTCGCAGTACATATAGATTGCTTTGGGTAGTAGAAAAGTAAGCTCAATATTGATAACTGGTAAAGGAAGAAACACAAATGGGACAAATTTTAGATTCATTTCTATATCTCCCTCTGTTTGCTATACTCTGCCAAATTATAGATTTATAGTAAAACTGAACAGACAGCTACTTTACTAAACAAAGAAAATTGAGAAATGTTAACTGAGCATACAAACCTGTAGCATCTTTAATTCTTTTAAAATCCTCATATTCAAATACATCTCCATTAGCTATAACTGGAATTGACAGTGCAGACACAACATCTGCAATCTCATCCCACTTAGCAGGATCTCTTGGTCTGTCTTTGACCTTTCTGCATGTGTAAAGGAATCCAACATCAGGGAAATCAATTAACAAAAAAAGACATATTAGGGAAGATTGAAAATGGAGAGTTGATATATGACATTATTCTGCAGCATATTCATTTTAATGGTTGCAAAAAAGAACTTATAAAATATATCTCAAATGTAGTCAATTGAAGGCTCAGGTGTTTCGGAAAGGAACATGGAAAAATGCCAACCATTCATTTGAACAGTTCATGGATTTTAGCAGCATCATTTAGGATGGATCCTATAAATATAGTAAACAAGCCAAATAGCTGTGAATATCAATACTATTTTCACCTTGGATTCTTAAACATAGGGATTTCAACTAAATGGACAATTGGAGAGAGAAAGATGGTAAATTGCACATTATAAAGTAGAGTGGATGAGTACAATTTTCTATCAGAACTCAAAAGTATGAAGCGTAACTAACCTTCCATGGACAGCAAGGGCTGGAACACCAATCTTCTCAACTCGGCGAGCCAACTCCACAGTGTCCTGGCGTGTGTTCAGAAGACGGATTTTACATGTCACGGTAGTGTCCAAGTTCCTCCGCAATGTGGTCAAAATCTACATGATGTGATTTGCATACTTGATAAGTGAATGAATTTCTAGAATATTTAAGTAATAAAACAAAACAGTAAATTTGAGTACATCATGAATAAGCTCAGGTTTGGAGAGTAATGCGGCTCCCATTCCACCACTAAGAGAGAAAGATTTGGGACAACCCATGTTGATATCTATAGCAGCAACATCGTTACACCTGGTAAGGATGAAACTGTGATCAAAGAAAATATCTAAAGCAGGGGCGGTTAAAACAATTGATCCGATTCCTTGATTAATTGAAACAATTCAAACAGCAACCATGGTATAAGTAACCCAATGCACCTAGGAATTTTTCATGGAAAAAGGAAATATGGATTTATCCACTCATTGGAACCTATATTATTTTACTTCAGAACTTCAACCGTAAATATTTTCAGAAATAAGACTTACACAAGCTGAGCAGCTTTCAGTGCCCTCACAGCATCAGATGTTCCCATTTGGAATACAACCCTATCCCTTTCTTGTGGGCAAGTACGGAATACTACAGTATCAGTCCCTCTCTCCAAAAAATCAGTAGTACCAAGAGATTCTGAGTAGCATTGATAAAATTTATTAGCATGGAAGGATTATACGACACAGAAAGAACAAATCTAGACAGTAGTGGAGATAATAGAGATCAAATAAATGGAACTGTTAAAAGTTCCCCAATTTCATAGGAAAAAATCAAGAAGCTTACTTCTTAAAGGCATCTAACTCTAAATTTGTTATCAAAACATATATTTTTCATGATCTTCAATAACAACCATGTACCATCAATAGTAATTTAAGATTTTAAGATGAACATTTTCAATCATGTACTTCAAAGGCAATATTATAGGAGTCAGGTCATCCCAAAAAAGATAACATTATGCCAACTGCTTAACAAATTTTCTGAGAAGAACTTAACTGTTAATACAGTTGCATGCGAGATCATAATAAAATGCCAAACACCAATTGAACTACAATACCATTTGTAACACGTTCACACTTCAAAAACTTATGATCTATTATTTCTTCTCCGTAAGTGATATCAGCACCATATTCAGCAGCCAGTAGCCTAAACGGCAGGGTACCCTGCAAAGGTAATTGGAAGAATAAGGAAATATACTTCATACACCTTTCAATTAAGAGGAAACCTCCTGATTAGGTGTGTAGGATAAATACTATGTGTTCAGCAATCCCATCAAGATAATTTATTGTTATCTATCTAAAAATGATACAGTAAGCTGCTAGCAGAAATGGTCAGATTTGAAAAAAATACTGCATTCAACAAAACTATGCTTTGCCCCTTTAAATTGTACTTCAGATACTATCAAAACATCACAGATCCAAGACCCAAGCAAAGAGGTAAATCAGATCACGAACATAGAAGCATGCTACTTATTAGTTATTACTATTATTTGTTCACTTTCAGCATAAAACCGAAGCGTATATGGTGATACAACATGGTTTCTCACACATGCAACAAGACAGAAATACTAGGCTCCAGTTCTCTGGAGAGCTGAAACTGCTGCTTCCAACTACAACTAAGTCTAATTAAATTTCTAAATTGAATTTCTAACTATAACTCGAGCAATCGGGCTCCCAAAAGCTCACAGCCCTCGCCCACGGAACAACCCGCCGCGGGCGCACAGAGACGTGCTCGTCCACTCCGCGGGCGCACGCGAAAACCTAGAGCTCGCAGCTCTAGCTATGAGGATGCCTAAATCTAGGATCCAGATCCCCGGGCTAAAACTCGGATCCTAATTCCTACGCTCCCACCTCGTACGCCGCCGCCGCTAGAGTTCGACGAGAGCAACCTCCCAGTGGATGCTGCAGCGGTTTAGGGGAGAAGGAGGAGGGGCCGGATCGAGAGGAGAGGTTTACCACGCGAACCATGGGCGCGAGCACCAGCTTGTCGCGGTACTCCATCCCCGCCGCGCCGCCGCCGCTCGGCGGCTCCGAATTTTTTTCCCCGCGAAGTTTGGAGAGGACTCCGCGGCGAATTCCTCCTTGCGTACGCGAACAGGGCACCGCGTCCGCTACTCCTCTCCTCTGGCTCTCCAGACCTCCAGCCCTCCAGAGTTTCTCTCACCCGTCCTTATATGGGCCGGGCTGATGAAAAGCCAACTTCTCCCAGACATAAAAGCCCCCATTTGGGCTGTTGTGGCCCACCAGGCTAAAGCCAACATTTGGGTTCTGTAGCACATTGGTAGCCTCGTCATTTCGCTTATACTTATATTAAAATTTAAATTTTAAAACTTACTTTTATAGTTGATTTTTGTCAACGAGTGATAATATCACTCGCGGACCGGATGAAAAGAGTATTGGGGTACGTTGGAATATGGGTCTACGTAGTACGATATCAAAACAGACAAAAGACAAGGATTATACTGGTTCAGGCCCCTTAGCAGATAATAGCCCTAGTCCAGTTTATATGGATTGATGATGATGAGAACAGATTACAAAGAGAGTAACCGAAACAGGCGATACCGACGAGATCGTAGTCGAGGGATTCGGCAAGATCTCTCGGCGAGTCGGCTCCGTGGACTCCGGCTTCGTAAACTTTGGTGGGTGTGTTGGCAATGAGATGCGATACCCTTTGCCTCTCCCTAGGGGTCCCTTTTATACTGTGGAATACCTTGACCCCAAGTAAAACTTGGAGATATGTAAACCGGCACGATATACTAAAGGTTTTACCCTTTCCGAATAGGACTTCGGCAATTCCTTAACTCATAGAGATATTTTCTATAATCTGAGGCAAATTTCTAACGGCGTATAAGGGAACCAACCGTATACGTGAGGGTATACCTTATCAATATATATCATAAGTCGTAAGATAGAGGGTATGCTTTATCCGTAACCCTGACAATTTTGTGGGTATTTTTACAGTAGTTTATCATACTATATTTTCTTTTGAATTGCTAAGAGCACGTATACTATAAAAAGTTTTATCTACAAATTATTATTATTGCTAATAAGCCGTTTGGATAAAAGATAAGTGTAAGCGAAACGATGAGGCCTTTGATTAAGGTAGGCCGCTTTTTTATTGCATTGATTGCTAAATAACATCTGGGTAATTTTTTTTGACAAATTAGGTTCATTTTAAAATAGATTTCAATTCATTTTTATTATCGTCCAATTTTACTTCGTCATTCTTGCGCCACCTTATCGACCTTCTTCTTCTCTGGTGTGTGTTCTCCGGCCGGTCTCCTTCACGGCGCTGCTGCCTCACGCTGTAGAGCAAGCACGAAGTAGTGTTGATCGTGGTGTTAATCGCGGATAGGATGAACGGCCCTTTTTGTCTTCTGAGAAAGTGTGAGATCGACAGGACCAGAGAGGTCCAGAGTGCAGAGTGCCAGAGTGGCCATAAAGATGAAACGTAGCATTAATTTCATCGAAATCGATCAGCGACATGGAACTAGGGAAGCTACTGTATTAGATTGGTATAGATCCCAGTATCCCACAGCCACACTGTAAAAGATGATGAATTCACACCGGCACTGTGTCATATCTCTCCGTCACGACATCTACACAAGTAAGTAATTCAGCTATACAGCCAGAAGCAAAGCAGCTTGGCTAGCTTTTTGCACTGAGATACAAAACCATACTACTGTTTCCACATATGCGTGCATGCATGCACCATGCACCATGCGACCACAGAGAGTTAGCTGACCACCGGCCTCTCAATCATCTCGGGCTAGCTGGACAAACATCAATCCACGCCTCAGAAAAAGGTTCACCCCGTCTTATTTAGGAGAGCACCAGCGTCTACCTACTTGTAGTGTCATTGGCCCTCTCTCGTACCTAGCTGAACGCTCCTGCACCGAGCTGAAAACCGGTTAAACCGCAACGCAGCAGACACACATGAGCGACAAGCCGGGCCTCTCCCCGCAGATCCCAACACCACCCCGCTCGTCCGCTGCTGCCTGCTGCTGCTGGCGCGCGTCCATACAAACACCGCCCCCAGAGAGAGAGAGAGAGAGAGAGACGCCGCCACCGCCTTGCGCTCTCCTCCCTCCCCGTCGTCGTCGTCGTCTCTCTGCTTGCCATGAGAGACACCGGCGCCGCCCTGCTGCTGGCGGCGCTGCTGCTCCTGCTGGCGTCGGAGCTCGCCACGCTCGGCTGCGGCCACAGGATGACGAGAGCGGACGTGGCGGCGTGGAAGCGCCACGCACTCGTGGCTCCGACGAAGAAGACGACGACGATGGCGGCGTCGCGCGCTGCGACGACGACGACGACCTTCCCGATCCCGACGGTGGCCGGGACAGGCGATACGGCGGCGGCGCTCGGTGACGGTGAGTCCAAGAGGCTGGTTCCGCAGGGCTCGAACCCGCTGCACAACTAGCACAGGTTCTTCCTCACTAGCTTAGCCAGCTTCCATTTCTCTAGCTAGCTAGCTAGCTCGCGGGCGTGCAATATATACAATCACATACACAGTGCTGCATATCACTGCAAGTCTGCAACTGACTTAACTGTAATTAGTTAGCACTGCACATCTCTCAAGTCTCTGAATCCAAGACGAGAGCGTGTGCCATGTAATTACATTCCTCCTTCTCTTGCGTCTTTTGAGCAATGATGATTTGCATTAGGATGACAATGATGTTTTGTGAACTGTGAGCTACTACTCTACTACTATCTGCAATGGTTTGAGGCGGTCTGGCATGTGATTTCCGGCCGAGGTGCTCAGCGTCATTTCACCATGGCGAGCAATGTAGCTCTGGGCTAGCAAACAGACATGGTGAGCCAGGACAAGCGGGTGCATTGTCGTGCCTTCGTTTTATTATGATTACTTGCCACTGGTCCTTTTGTTTTCTTGCGAGCTCGCAATCAACAGTGCCCCTCTGTTTATCTCGTCCCTCGCATAGTCACATGGTGAGAGACGTCGTGTAGGAGATAAAAAAAATTGCTTGATAGTCTAGGATAATCGATCGGTGCGACCATAGAGATTGGGAAGTGAGATGCTGCTGGAAGGTCAAAGGACAACCACACTCTCACGCTATGGAGTGAAAATTAAGCTATACTACTCCAAGTCATCATCAGGAACTGTCAGGGCAGAACGTGCATAGTGCTGACTACCATGGTTATGTGTTGCACATGGAGCATAGATGAGTGTAATTACTTTGTTACTGCAACAGGATTATTTCATCACCCCCCTAAAATTACTGAGCTAGGCTCCTTTTTTTAAAAAAAAAAAAACTTAGCTAATCTTGGTTGAGCAGCGAAGGTAAACGAAACTACTTTTTTTCGAATGAGGAAAAGAATTGCACATCAATGTATTAGATGAAAATGAGTTTTTTTGTTACACAACGTAATCAGCTAGATAGGCTTATGCGAGGGGAAGGAAGAAAAGGCAAAATAAAAACTGCAGCTAGCAAAACAAAAACTACTACGGCGGCTAAATGCAACTCCAATCAACGGGAAGGGGGCAGAGCCACACTACACTCCTTAGGCCTGGTTTAGTTCCCCAAAAAAATTTCTCAAAAACATCACATCTTTGGATACATGCATGGAGCATTAAATATAGATTAAAAAATTAATTGCACAGTTAAGGGGGAAATTGCAAGACGAATCTTTTGAGCTTAATTAGTCCATGATTAGCCATAAGTGCTACAGTAACCCACATGTACTAATGACGGATTAATTAAGCTCAAAAGATTTGAAATTAGTTTTTTCATTCGTGTCCGAAAACCCCTTCCGACATCCGGTCAAACATTCGATGTAACACCAAAAAAAATTTTTTCGCGAACTAAACAGGCCCTCCCAAAAACAGCAACACCAGCGGAAGACCACAGGCAACCCTCCAAGAGTATGGATTCCGGAACCACTAAGACCGAAAAGAGCGCGGAGTCGAAAACCTAGGAGTTTTGTTCCTTCCACAGCTGCCAGGAGACCAGGAGGACCAGGGAGTCGAAGCCAGCATGAAGATGCTCAAGTAAGCAGGCCCTAGAAGATAGCCATCAAACCTAAAAACCAGTTGCCATAAGGTGGGGGGAGGAGGGGTGGTGGAGGGCAGCCCAACCAGGAGTGACAACACACGGTGCTAGACCTGCCAAGCGAACACGCGGTTGAAGAGGATGTGGTTCGCCCTCTCAAAATTCTGAGCGCAAAAAGGGCAGGTCGAGTGGCTATCGATGCCACGCTTCAGGAGGCGATCAACTGTCCAACAACACTGCTGAAACACAAACCAAAGTAAGAGCTTGCATTTAGCAGAGCCCTTCACGTGCCAGAGCAGATAAGCACATGCAAAGGAGTGCTGGAAAAAAACGCATGGTACGCTGAACACGCCGAGTAGCGAGGGTCGCTCGTCCAACGTCAAACAAGACGATCCTCGAAAAGCAGGTCAATGAAATTACGATCACATAAAGGATTATAGCACTTCTGTTGCATCATAACTTGCCATAGTTATTACAGTTTAGTGGGCATCAAAGCAAGGTCCTTACATATAGAGCATATTGGCGAACACTATTATTACAACTTTTAGAAAATCATGAGAAGTATTTCTACAAGACTGCTCTTTTCAATAGGCTTTGTTCCAGGCTTCCAGCACACGACTTACCATAGCGATGCAGTGCGACATCAAAGTATCTGCTTCTTCCTCAAGATGACTGCTTCCATCCACCAATGTCTTCCTCAGATAAACCCCGATCGCGATCATCCTGTGAATAAAAGAAAAAAAATATCAGCAAAATGTACAGCAGATCAGGAAAAGGAAAACAGCTCGTTCATTTTCAGGGTAGACATTGGCAGAAATATGTAGTAGCAAAGGCAAAAGGAGGAAGAGGAATTATTAGTATTTAGTAGTTATACCATGAAGTTAACACTAGCATATATAATACCTACAAAATGGCATGTGGACTTTTGGAGTATATATATAATATATTAGGTTTTGCAATACAGAATACTATATTTTACAAAGAAAAACAGTACTGCTAGTTCAAAACTTTCTGAATGTCTAACACAGATTTTCAGTTGGTCCCAAAAGATGGCACAGCACATTGTGGGCAATTGCACGATATAAACCCGGTGTGAGCTGTGGGCACGAATATGTGACAATTACCTCTGGAGTGAACGTCAGGCCCACTTTGATTTCTCCACGGTATTCTTCTTCTTTCACAACATTATAAACAGTTGGGGGTATGCTTCCTTCTGTATAGATTGCTTCCAAAGAAATCCTGAAAGAAATGGATATTGCAAACGTTCAGGTAGGATCCTACAATATGTCAGGAGATTATAGATCTGAAGGAAAAACTAGTCATTTGAGGACCATTTTACTCAAAACAGATTTTGATATAATTTCAGGACCACATAACCGACATGTGAGCAGTTTGGGCTCACCCCCATATTCAGACGGATATTTGATATTAACAAAGCCATGGAAGCTAGCATAGATAGAAATAATTAACCTCTAGTTCAATTGGACTTGCAGTGTATAATTAGTTATGAGCAGAATACAACGGTGTACTCACGTTGCTTCTCCAACAAAATCATCATCCGTGCCACTGTCACTGTCCATCAACTTGATGATGAGCTCTGTAGCGTTGTGAGTGACGCTGAACATAAAGGTTTCGTTCCATTCAGGGTCAGATCCTTTACCTGCACCGAATGGATCGAGTTACATTCACTTGGGAGTTGGGACCACCCAATGGAGCATGCCATCAGTAACAAAGCAACTCGTTAGTAGTGTTAAACACGTCCAAATCATATCCTTTTGCAATTGAGATGAAAGAGGCATTTCCCATTTCCCAACCATGTATACGTTTTGCAGATATTGATTAATCTAGGATTTTTCTTTTGATATTTGATGGTCCATAACTCCATATCAATGTGAGCTGTGAAGAATGGGTGAACAATTGAGATGCTACCGAGTTGATGAGCTTTAATTGAGAGATGCTACCTAGTTGATGTGCTTTTGGCGTGATATTGCTGCATTTTTAACTCGATGTGCACAGTATTATTATTGCAGTTTCCTTAGATACCTTCTGATGTTGAAGTGCTCAGAGTTTCAACCATATAAGTAGCACGTCGTTCCTCAGAAAAATGGCTCATGCACTATGATAAAACAATCTGTATGAGCACTGTTATCAAGAGCATCTGAAGTTTTAATCTTTTGGTTGGCAGGAAGATTATCTGAACAAAGCTACCATCCTGACAACCTTCCCTAGACTATGATCACAAAAGGCAAAACATTTTTCTTCTGCATTGTAGGAGTATATGAGAAAGGGTATTGGAACATACCTGACGCAACGCTGCTCTTCTGCTCCTGCGAGCGGCATTTGAGAACCGCGTACGGGTCCATGTTGCCTGCAGCGAAGGTTTGCAGGAGCAACGCAGCTCATCAGCAGTAAATCACAGATTCAGACCAACTCTCAGGCTCTCAGCAGCAGCAGTAAACGAACTGATCGACAAAGCTAAAAAGAAGCTACTACTCCTTTACTACAGAAGACCAGAAGTCAGGTAAGTTCAGAGATCCGAAGCGTACACAGGTAGTCGGTGTTCTCGAGGCCCTTGGCTCCGACGAGCAGCACCTCGAGCGTCCCCTGCACCATCTTCCCCAGCTCCCCCGGCGCCCCGGCTGGCTGGCTGGCCTCGCCTTCGATCGATGCTTATTAGCGAACAATTTGACCAGGAAGCGAGACGGCGAGATCCAATCCGAACGCAGTTTTTATAGGAGTTGAGGTGGGCCGTGGGACTCGCGGGACGCGTTCGCCTCCCCCCCGGAACATGGAGGTGGCGTGGTAGGGGGAAACGACGACAGCGTAACGTGCGCAAGTCAATGCGCCGCGGGCGGTGCGTCGTCGCCCAGGCTGGTGGATGAGTGACGGCAGGAAGGGGAGAGAGGGAGGAGAGGGTGTCTTCTCCCGCCGGTTTCGCGGGCGAAAAAGCAGAGCCGATCTCACCGTGGGCCGTGCCGTGCGGTACCGTCGGGATGGTGCACGGAATTGGAGGGCACAGCCTTCGTCACCATGCGTGTGGACGTGTCGGCGTGCACATTATCGGCGTGCGCTCCAGTAGCTGGCTCCGACGCGGCGACCGACGTTAGGCATTAGCAAAATAGTGAAAATAGTACACTCTGATGATCACGTGGCGTTGTCACCAGATCAAATGGGCCAACAACTTTAAAAAATATCAAATGGGCCAAGCCCTTGTAAATTCAACATTTTGACTGATAGAAGTGATCATTGGCAAAGGGTTAAGTTTGTCGTCTAACGTGGGTCATTGATATATGAGTCCATTGGATTTGAGGTGCACATATCATATATTCGAAGTCAGATGGCGATAGTAGAGATGTTTTCATTTAGCAAAAATGTGCCCATTGCATACACGTCACGAACACTAATATGCTTTAAGTACAAAAAAGTTAGCCATACACTAGTTAGAGGCTTAGAGCATCCTTATTTGATCATCTATATCCTTATTTAGGTGGTCATCTAAAAAAGATTCCCACTCTATATTCTTCTTCACTCCAATAGATCATCTATATTACACCCTCTATATCATATCCACCTATATTTTAGTAATATTTTCTAACTATCCATACATTTGTATTAATTTTTATAATGGCTATATTTACAAACATTTTGAAAAGTCCAAATTTATTGCATGACGAATTTACTATATAAAATACTAGGAGACAACTAGTATTGTAATCTCATTTTTACGTTCAAACATATTTATCTTCCTCTCTTTATCCGTACCTATTGGGAGGAGAGAGCGAACGAGAGAGTGACAGGAAGGGAAAGGGGAATGATGAGGGGAGGGGAAGGGAAGGGGTGGAGAGCCGACGGCGGAGGAGGGGCGACGTGGGGGCGGGCTGGAGGTGCCACGGGCGAAGGGGAGAAGTGGTAGGCAGCGGGTGACGGGGACAGAGAAGGTGCAGCCGTGGTGGGTTTGGCGCGGACGGCGGGGGCGAGGAAGCGGTGGTTGGCACGGGGGTCGGGTGGTGGGGCGAGGAAGCGACGGTCGGAGCCGACAACCGGGTGGAGAAGCGATGGTCGAAGGTAGTGATCGGGCAGAGAAGCGATGGTCGGAGGTGGCAGCCAGGCGTGGCGAAGCTGTGGGCGGCGGCAACAGCAAACGCATGACGCTCTCCACCGTCCACATTTCCATCTCCATGTCTCGATAAGCTTCTACCTCTCCAGTCTTCACCCTCACTACTGCACCCTGCACGCCATCTATCCAGCTAGAGGCGGGAGCTTGGTTCGAACTTAGGCGGTTGCAATATGGTGTGAGAAGAGACTCAAGAGAGGAATGTCAAATTTGATGTCTCTCTCCCGGATGGCGGACACTCTAGATTTGAGGCAGCAATGGCGTATCTGCTGGAGTGCGATTTTCTACCCTTGTGCGCTATTTTCTCGATGGAGAATAGGATAGAGCATCCGCTGAGGATGCTCTTAGATGGTCCATTTCACATTGGCAAGCCAAAATTATGTGCAAATGAACTTAATGCGTCATCGCAACATGCTGGCGTGACTACGGTTAGATGTAGCAAGTTTTAGAACTAAAAGATCCCTAAAACTTATGCTTGACGATATTTGAGATGAAAAATAAAGAATAGTACTGAATGGTGAGAGGAACAAGGTCAGGCTGTTAGGCAACATGTCCCATTGATTTTATTTTTCCTTTTTAAAACTTCCTAAACCCACCAACGTCGGCATATTGCTAGATGAGAAGATCGATTTTATATTACTCCCTCCGTCCTAAATATCAACCTTGTATTAGGATATGACGCATCCTAATATAACGAATATAGGATGCGGCACATTTTAGTATAATGTTGGTTTTTTTGGACATAGTAAGTATATTGTTTTTCTTTTGACAAACAAGGGAGTACATTTTTAAAAACCATCACCATGCCTCGTTGGACGATGTTCATGGAGCCACCAGCCAGAGAAAGAAAAAACCAGTTGATCACCGAGCTAGCAAACCTACTACTACGAGTCATCAATCAGTGCCAAGTAGGAAGTACTAGTAGCATCGCAGGGAGTCCCCCCCAGGCTCCCAACCAGTGGTCTACTGGAGTGCGCGACTTCGTGGTCCGGCGGGTGCGTCGGGCCTCGTCCTTCGCCCCGGCAAAAAACCGAGGCTGTCGGTGGCGCCCTACGCAAATCCTATTCACACGATGCCCCATTCGCTGTACTGTAGACGAGGCCCCAATTATCAGACGTACTCCCTCCATCCCATAATATAAGGGATTTTGAGTTTTTCGTACTGTTTGACCACTCATTTTATTCAAAAAATTTATGTAAATATAAAAAACAAAAATTTGTGTGTAAAGTACTTTAGACAATAAAGTAAGTCAAAAAAAGTAAATAATAATTTCAAAATTTTGAATAAGACGAGTGGTCAAACAATACAAGAAAAACTCAAAATTCCTTATATTATGAGACGGATGGAGTAGTCGGAAGCAACAATAGCAAGAAGAAGACGACGCCGAAGAAAAGCTGAGCTTTCTGATTAACTACCACCAGCACCACCAATAGAATTTCGTGAATCCGTTAGGTCTCGCTTTATAAAAACTGGTTGGTATTAGCCGGGTTCTATACAGTGTTGACTAAAATTCATTGGTTTTTACCGGATTTCAGTCGGATTTCGATAAATCGGTAAAGAACGGCTTTTACTTCGAAATCGAAAAGACCCCTACTGCGTACTACTCCAGTTGCTTGGTTGCCTGAAGTTGTAAGCCTGATCAAGATAGCAAATGGACTTGGCGGGTGGAATGTTGTGGACTGAAGCTTAGCAGCTTTCGTTATGCTGCTCGGCTGTCCACTCAAATAACCTTGATGCCGAATGCTAGCAAATTAGCTAATGTTACAATCAGTTAGTACCAAACAAATACAAGTATGGATGTAAAAGTTGCCAGTTTTCTAGAGAAAAAAAAAGGGTACAAGTATGATGCTAGAACTGTGTAGTCGACTCGTTCGTAAGATCGGTACGTGACGCATGTGTAGTGTACAGCGACTGAAGCCGTATGGAGCATGTGCTGTTGTCTTGCTAATTGCTATGATCAGACTGTCCATCAAAAGTAGGGGCGTACTTAACACAAGGTTCAGGCCCCATTTGATTCAAAGGAAATTCGTAGAAATTTTAGAGGATTTTATTTCCATAGGAATTTTTCCTACAAAGCCCTTTGAATCAAAGGAATGAACCCTATGAAATCCTATAAAATTCCTATGGAATGCCTCTTTCTATACAAGTTTTGGAGGAATTTTAACAAAAGGTAGAACCTCATGGAAGAAATCCTTTGAGTCTTTATCTCTCCTCAAATTTCTGTGTTTTTCCTGTGGTCCAATCAAACGGTCATTCCTATGTTTTTCCTATGTTTTGTAATCATCTGTTTTACACTTTTATTCCTTTCAGAATCCTATGTTTTTTCTATTCCTGTGATTCAAAGGGTCCCTCAGTTTACGCAAAGGTGTATCCTACAGTAATCCTTCACAAAGCAGCAGTACATTTATAACGACAAACATCACAATCACCAGCTACAGCAATCGAGTGATCGATCACCCCTTTGCCTCCCATCGACAGTAACGGTGGGCAAAAGGCAGAAAGCAACTGAACCCCTTTCATTTCCTTCCTAGCGCGCCAGAGAAGCAAAGGATTTGAAGCCTTTATTACACACAAAAGATTCACCTGGGCACTTGCCCATCAGCCACCCGCCATTCACTTGGCACCAAACCGACGCACTAATCAAATGACATGGATCAATCAGTGCTTTAAACAAAAGCGGGAAAAGTCAGATCAGATTCCTGAAATTTGGAGCCCCTGATTTGAGATTTGCGCCAAGAAACGACATCCAATTAGCTGTTCTTGAAAGCAATTAACAAATGGAGTGTTACATTTACACCAAAGCTTTATCCCGTTTCCCAAGAACAACATCTCCACTAAACATCTGATTTACTAGTACAAGTGTATAGCCCTAATTCCAAACATACCAAAATATATTCCTTTGACAATATTTTTTTGTTGCGTATTTTATTATGGAACACATCAACAACGAATTTTTAACCCTGTCTAAAACGAATGGAATCTGAATTATCTGGTAATCTATTCCCTTAAACAGGCAAAAAAAAAAAAGACAGCTGTACACAACCATTGCTGCGTCGTCAGCTTCCCCTCACGAACAAAATCTTGCCATCCATCACCAACATGTGGGCCCGGCTGTCAGTACCGACAGGGCCACTCCAACCTCAGCCATGTTGGCCCATTCGTGGAGGCCCAAGTGGGCCGGAGTGTCAGTGCCCCAGCGCCGACACCTACCTCGCGACGAGTGTCGAGAGCAGCGAGGCCACCGATCCGAACTCGAACAAACCGATCGCTCCAGCGACGTGGGCCCCGCATTGTCAGGCGACGGCGGCGAGGAGGTCGTCGCGAGCGCCGCGGCGGCGGAGCAGGTCGTACGGCGCCCAGAGCGCGTCGAGCGGGCACGGCCGGCCGGCGTCGAGCCGAAGCCACGGCTTCCCCTTGCCGCTCCAGTGCAGCAGGCTCACCGGCCCAGGGTGAAGCTCCCGGCACTGCCCCGCGACGTTGTCGCCGCCGAGCCCGTGCTGGTTCCACCGGTGCTCCACGGCCTTCACCTCGCCGGCGAACACCAGGAGGAACGGCGGGAGCGACCCCAGCTCGTATATCCTGGCCTCCTGCTTCTGGACCTCCATCCAGTACTCCAGCTTCACGGTGTACCCGCCGGCTCGCCACCTGTCCAGGTCGATGACCATGACGCCGGTGTTGAAGTAGCACGGCGCGCGCCCCCGGTTGGTGAAGATGGAGGAGTACTCGGGGT